GAAGACCATGGCCTGTATCAGACGCACCTTAGTCTCCAGAGAGACACCATTGCTCTTCAGTACTTTGGAAAGGTCCCTAACAGCAGACTTTCCCATGACAATTCGCCTTTTAATTTCCTGGCTGCTGGTGCCAAGACTGTTGACTATGGAGCCAAGGAAACTAAAGCTCTGTACAATCTCAATCTCTTCATCCATCCATCCTGATGCTGCCAATTGGTCCAGTGGTGAGAATCTTTGCATAATTATATAATAGCCCATTTTAAAAACTATGTGAATAATAATAAATTATGACTAATATTGAGAAGAATGAGTATATCAGAACTGTTCTCATGTGAAGTCTAGACCAATAGGCAGTTGTATGAACAGAAGAAGGGAACACTGCATGGTTTAAATGAGGAAGGGTGTGCTTTAGCATTATATTCTTTCTCCATACCTATTCTATCTGTATGTTGAACAAATAATTAGAAAAGCTGGACTAAATGAAGCATGTGGCATCAGGATTGGAGGAAGACTCAACAGCTTGTGTTATTCAGATAATACAATAATTCAGATAATAATTGCTTTAGAATGTATAGAAGGCTCAAAGCACTTACAGAAGATCAGATTAGTCTTCAATATGGATTATATCTAAATATCAAGAATACAAAAATCCTCACCACTGAACCAATATACAACATCATGATAGAAAAATATTGAAATTGTCAACTGTTTCATTTTACTAGATCTGTAATCAGCACTCAAGATAGTAGCAGTCAAGAAATCAAAAGACATACCACATTGGGAAAATCTGCTGTCAAAGACCGCTCTAAAGTTCAAAAGAGCAAGGATGTCAGTTTAAAGACTAAGGTACACCTGATCCAAGCTATGTTCTTTTCAGTTCCTTCTTAGGCATCTGAAAGTGAGGATGACAAAAGAACTGATTACTTTCAAGCTGTAGTGTTGGAGAAGAGTATTGAATGGACTGCCAAAAGAACAAACAAGTCTGTCTTGGAGTAAGTGCAGCTGGGGTGCTCCTTGGAAGTAAGAATGATAAAAGTTGATCTAGTTTAGTTTGGATATGTTGCTAAGAGAAGCTTGTTGATAGAAAGAGACATCATGCTGGGAAAATTAGAGGGCCAGAGAAAGAGAGGAAGACCATTACCAAAATGGATAGACAGCAACCATAACAAAGGGCTTGAGCACATTGGAAATCAAA